ATCAAATCAATTTCTTGATTTTCTTCTTATAAATTTAAAGGTTGCAATTAGAGAACATTCCTAGAGAGATAAAGTAGGTTTTTGAGATATTGGAGCCAATTATATCCAGCAGGTTAGTGGGAACAATTTTCTAGATCGAGGTGGGCTATAATTATCATATCTTAATTTTTAATATGGGTTGATTATATGAGAGTTTTTGTAATTTATTTGACTAAAAGAAGTTTGAAAAATTTTCAATCATGTCACTTTTGGTATACAACATAATAGAATGTTCTTGTCATATTAACAATATAAATTTATATTTGCATCATGTATTTTGAATTACATGAAATTTTAAGTATTTTGGTGAGTATGAAGGAAAACGATAAATGTGGCTGTAGAATAATAAATGTACAAAGTGATTTTATGAGTGCTTTTTAGAAATATTTTTATGATTCTTAAATTTTGAATTGAATATGTGTAAAAGTATTTCCCCCCAAAGTACTAATGTGGTCATCTTAAACATGAAAATTTGCATATTCCTGTATTATGTTTTATGTTATTCATTCATGTTGATGATATTGATATTCTTAAGCTCTTGCTCTTGGAAATATGTGGAAAATGAGAAGAAGAGAAAAATACATGTAATTCATTATTAACACTTTGTCTACTCTATATGCTCTTGTGATATGAAAGATATTATTTATTTATGTTCAAAGTTGGGATTTTTGTTCATTTTAACAGTATCATTATTTTTATGTTGATGTGATTGAAAATATGTAAATGATAATAGTGGAGATATAAGGTGTTTGCTCAAATGAATGAATAAATTATGTTATGCATAAGGAGTCATAAGAGTTTGCTACTATATATGTGAATTTCATGGGAGGCATAAGGGCAGAGTACAATATATGTTATAGTTATGTGGTATAGACGCTTGAGCAAATAGATGTAATGTGATGTAATGAGGTACATGTGAAAATTGATCAAATGTTTAATAAAATTTTTATTTACTTAAAATATTTTATTATTGTAATCTAACATATTTATACTAAAATTATGCTACAATTGTATGCGATGCAATTAAATAATTGATACATAGAACCACTGCACCTAGTGTCACTGTTGTAAATTCCACTTTCTAAGTATTATAATTATTCCTACTTTGTTATATCATGATTACCTACCTTTTTGTCTTTATTGAAACAATCAAATCATATGTTTGATTTATGTATGTGGCTATATTGAGAAATGAGGTAGGTTTTAGATAACCTATTGAATAAGCTTTGCTCATTCTTATTTACTATGTGTTCATTTCAGGGCAAGAAAATGAAAAATATTGAATCGATAAAGTAAAGGGCAAGGATTATAGGTATTCCTTATATTGTTTTTTTTTTTTTTCTTTTGTGGGGGTGGGGGACGATGTCGGCTCCGACGTCGTCTTCCCCGGCCGCTGCGTCCTCTCTAGCTGGTAAAACTAGGTCTTTTAAAGATGTGGTTTCCGGTGGCTCCTCTTCATCTTCCCCTAAAGTTAAATTTGTGCACTCGACTTTTAAAGGTTGCCCGGCTCTGTTATTTGAGGATGTGGTTGTTAATCAGCTTGCGGCTCCATTCTCTTTCACCCTTGTTGGGAAGTTCATGCTTCGGAGGCCTAATCTGGATGTTATTAGAAAATTTTTCTTCAGTTTGAAATTGTTTGGTTCTTTTACTGTCGGTTTGCTTGATCCTAAACATGTTGTCATCCAGTTGTCTAATGATCTCGATTATAGCCGAATTTTTTCTCGTCGCTCATATTATATTCAGGGATGCCAAATGAGTTTTCTCAAGTGGTCAACGGATTTTGATGCCAGGGAAGAATCCCCCATAGCTCCTGTGTGGTTAGCTTTTCCTAACCTCCGACTGCATTTTTTTAATTCGTATATTTTGTTTGGCCTTGCTTCTGTGTTTGGTCGGCCATTGCAGACTGATCAAGCCACTACCACTCTCTCGAGGTCGTCCGTGGCTAGAATATTAGTTGAATTGGACGTTACTAAAAAACATCCGAAAGAAATTTGGTTAGGATCGGAGAACAATGGCTATTTCAAAAAGGTTGAAATCGAAAACTTACCTATTTTTTGCTCGCATTGTAGAATGCATGGTCATGGGGTAAATGAATGCTTTAGATTACACCCTAATTTACGCAAGGAGAAAAATGTACCTAATGTTAATGTTGTTAAGGAAAATGAGGTGAGTAATGTGCATCAGGTTAATGAGGTTCCTACACTTATACATGGTGCTGAAAATGATGAAAATAAGGGGGAAACATCTGCGGGTCCGATCAATACTTTACCTGTTATTAATAATCAGGATTCGGTTCATTCTGACAATGAAGGTATAAATGATCAGGTTTCTTTGGGTCCTGTTAATGTTGCAGATGAAAGTATATTAGACCATCATAAATGGGCTGATGTTGATATTGTGAAAAGCTCTGATGAGCTGGTGGTTATTTTATAGGAAGGGGAAGTTATTTCTTCTAACTCAATGGAAAAAGCTTTTATTAATGATAGTAATGTTCATGTTACTAAGGATAATCCTCTGATGCTGGAAAATGCTGTTTGTTCTTCTGATATAATTCCTCATATTGATTTTGATTTACTGAATCCTTTGTCAGATAATGTTAAGATGAATGGCTCCACGAAGGAAGATGGTGTGCTATTTTTGGAAGCTGAAATCTCAGCTTCGGAGAGCTTGGTTGGTGAGAATATCAATGGCTTTCAATTATCTGAACAATTTAATTGTGATGCTTTTACTGATACGGAAATTGAAATTAATGCTAAATGTTATGCTAGAATGGACAATGATTTAAGTTCTACTAAGAGTCGTGGGAAGAGAAGTAAAAAACCTAGAAATGCTATTTTGCTTTCGCCTAGAAATACCCGTTCACATACTGCTCATTAATTCTATTTTTCTATGATTAATACGATTATTTGGAATGTGAGGGGGATCGGTTGCCCTTCCTCTAGGCTTCGGGCTAAAAATCTTTGTCGCATCCATAACATTTATGTTCTTGTTTTGCTTGAACCTCTCATTTCCATGGATAAGCTTCTTTCTACTGCTAAATTTTTGGGTTTTCATCAGGCTTTTGCTAATGTCTCTAACAAAATTTGGGTTTTCTGGAAAGATTTTTTTAGGATTGATGTGATTGGTAATTTTACTCAAGTTTTGCATTGTAATATTGAATCATTAAATTTTCAATATGTTGCGTCTTTTGTTTATGCTTCATCCTCTCGTTTTGGTAGAAAAGCTTTGTGGGAACAAATCAAGAATTTTCATTGTAATTCCTCTTTACCTTGGTTGGTGGGTGGTGATTTTAATTCTATTACTACTCCTTCCGAGCGTGTTGGGGGATCTCACCCTATTTTTCAATCTATGGAGAATTTCAATGACATGATTATGAACTGTAATCTTATTGACATCGGTTTTATTGGCAACAAATTTACGTGGAATAGGAGTCATCTTTGGCAACAGCTTGATAGAGTTCTTTTTAATAATGCTTGGGTTAATGTTTTTAATGCTTCTAAGGTGGTGCACTTGAGTCGTACCCTTTCTGATCATTCCCCTCTTCTTATTAATGTTAATTGTACTAGAGGGGGTTTTCATTCTCATTTTAGATTTCAGAACATGTGGCTTACTCATGATTCTTTTCTTAATGTTGTGCATAATAATTGGATGGCGCCTATTTACCTGGATAATTCTTTTGGCGGTATGGCTCGGCTTTGGTTCAAGCTTAAAAGGTTAAAATTGGTCCTTAATTGGTGGAATCGCCATATTTTTAAAAATATTTTCGCCAATATCAAGGAGGCGGAAGAGAGGATTAATGGGCTTGAGGATTGTTGTCAATTGAATCATACGGATGCTAATTGGGCTGCCCTTAAGGAGGCTAAGATGTGCCTCAGTAAACTTCAATGTCAGGAAGAGATTTTCTGGAAACAAAAGGCGGCGATGAAACATTTGGAGGAAGGGGATAATAATACTAGATACTTTCATGCTTTGGTTAACCTAAACTTATTTCTCCCAACAAAATGGGGTTTGTGAAGGGTCGTGCTATAGTTGATAACATTATGCTTGCTCAAGAATTTTGCCAAGACTTGGACATTAAAACTAGAGGGGGGAACATGATTTTGAAACTTGACATTGCTAAGGCCTATGATAACATTAATTGGAATTTTATTTATAAAATGTTACAGTTTTTTGATTTTGATTGTAAATTTATTTCTCTTATATGCACGTGTATTGAAAGTCCTTTCTTTTTTATTATCTTAAATGGTAACTGCCATGGTTTCTTCAAATCTTCCCACGGTTTGAGGCAAGGAGACCCTATATCTCCGGCGATCTTCATTCTTGCTGTGGACTATTTATCTAGAGGGATCAATGATTTGTTTAGTAAATTTCCTAATCTATATTATAAAACTTTGGGAGGCATCAAGATTTCACACTTATGTTTTGCTGATGATTTTATTGTTTTTATGAATGCTTCCAAAAATGGTATTTCTAAAGTTTTGAGGCTGTTTAATCATTTTGAAGCTGTCAGTGGTCTTGTTTTTAATAAAGGTAAGAGTGGGTTCGTTATTTCTAAGAACGTCTCGTAGAATAGGATTTTGGGTATCAAGGAGGTTACCGATTTCTCCCAAGCTAGTTTGCCGCTTAAATATTTAGGGATTCCTTTATTTAAAGGTAGAAAGAAGTCTTTTCTTTTTGATGATTTAATTTCTAAGGTTCATAATAGATTGGCTTCTTGGGATTCTAAGTTCTTGAGCTATGGTGGTATGCTTGTTCTTATTAAAAGTGTTCTTGCTTCTATCCCGATTTATTCTTTTCAAGTGTTGTTCCCTACTAAGTCGGTCTGTTTGAGGATTGATAGGATTTTCAACAAATTTTTCTGGAGGGGTTCTTCTAACAATTCTAAAATACATTGGTCGTCTTGGTCCAAGTGTTGTGGTACTTATCAAGAAGGTGATCTTGGTTGCAAGTCTATGCGTGATATGGCTACTGCTTTCTCTTTTAAATTATGGTATAATTTAAGGGTTAATAGTTCGTTATGGGCTAATTTTATGACATCCAAGTACTGTCGGGATTCTCATCCCTCCATGTGTTTTTATTCTAATGGTAATTCTCAAGTTTGGCATCGTATGCTTAAAGTTAAGTGGATCATTGATCCTAGGCTTGCTTGGGGCCTAGGGGAGGGTAACATTTTCTTTTGGCAAGATCAGTGGATTAATGGCTTTTCGATAGATGATCTCCTTACCTCTAATACTTTGAGTTCGGTTAAAGTGATTTTTTTATTTTCTGACAATGGTTGGGATGTGGAAAAGCTTTCTGCTGTTATTCCAGATTACATTATCAATTTGATTACCAATATTTCTATTAACCGGTGTGCTAAAGATGCATTGCTTTGTAAATTTACTAAAGATGGTCTTTTCTCTACTAAACAAGCTTGGCATGTGTTTAGAAATATTAAGTTGTTTTCTAAGTCTTTTAAAATGATGTGGCATAAGAGCATTCCGACCACGGTTTCTGTCTTTAATTGGAGAGTTCTTAAGAATTTTGTTCCTACCGATGATATGCTGAGAAAAAAAGGTTTATTTATGACTTCTAAATGTCAATGTTGTGCTAACTTAGAGACGGTTCATCATGTGTTTGTTTCTTCTCCAATTGCAGTTAAGGTTTGGAATTACTTTAAGGAGATTTTTCATGTTAATGGTGGTGGCCCTACCTGTTCTGTGTTTAACTTGCTTGAGGTTTGGATGGTTAGAGTGAAGGGGCATGTCCGTAATGTTATTCCTCTTCTTATTTTTTGGTTTATTTGGTTAGCTCGTAATGATTCTCGGATTAATAATGTTGGGATGAACCATCTTACTATTATTGCGAGAATTAAGGATAAAATTTTTGCTCTTTTTTCGGCTAATCTTTTATCTTACAAAAGTTTTGATAAAATTTCTTCTTCTGTTGAGATTTTCGGGATTGCTGGTATTGTTGCCCTGGTTAATAAGTTCTCTTATTGGTCTTCTCCTAATTCTAATTGTTTTAAGCTGAATATTCATACTGTGTTGGCTGAGACCAAGTGGTGTATTGGGGGCTTAATCAGGAACTCTGAAGGGATGTACATTGTTGGTTTTGTTGGGATGTCAGTGGCGGTTGATAACCTGGAAGGGTTTTTGTTGGCTGTGCTTTACGGGCTTTCCCTCTGTGTTAGCCTCGATGTTAGTAATGTGGTTGTGGAGAGTAATCTTAGCATTGATCAATCTGTTTTGTTGGGCGTGGATGGTACTAGTTGCGGGCATGCTTTATTTTTTGTCCGTAGAAAGGTTATGGTCTTAACAAACTCTTTGGAATGTTCTTATAATGTGGTTAAGACTGAGATTAATGCTGCTTCCAGTGCCTTGGCCCTCTTTGGTACCAGGTTTTCTGAAATTATTGATCTTACCTTTGCTAATCTTCCGGTGCATATTCAAGGCTTGATCAATTTGGATAAGACGAAAGTTCCCTATGTTTTGGGTTAATATTCGGTCTTTCCTTATTGGGGTGTTTCTTCCTCTGTTTGTTGGTTGCTGGGCTTTTTAATGTGGTATTTGGTTTGCTATTCTCTGCTGGCTTCTTCATGGTGGTTGTCCTGCTTTATTCTTCGTATTAGCTGCTGCATTTTTCTGTCTTTTTGTCCCTGCTGGTGATGGTTTGTGCTGGGTGTGGCTGGAGGGAGCGGACCTCGGTCGGCTGTTTCTTCGTTCAGGGAGTTTCTTTTTCCACAGCTGCTTTGTGTTTTTTTTGTTTTTTGCTTTTTTGTTGGATGGCTTAATCCTTTTCTTGTACCTCTGCTTGCCTGGTGTGCAGGTTTTTTGAGCATCGCGCTCGTTTTGTGCAGGGTTCGTGTGCTGATTGGTAGATTATGCTGTCTTTGTTTTTCTCTTCCCATGCTTTTTTGGGGATCTTAGAATGTTATTAGCGCTCATTGTATTTTGTTTAGCAGGGAATTCGGGCTCTTAAGTTTTCTTTCTATTTTTGATTGTAGCTCTTTGAGCGGTAGCGGGCTAGAATTCTCTTTAAGGACTTGTGTAATTTTTTCCCTAATTAACGTGTAAGCCTGTCCTTGGGTTTTAACCACAAAAAAAAAAAATATATATATATATATATATATAT